GTTTGCGAATAGGTAAATACTATAATATAATTCGTAAGTCGTAACTAGTCGAAACGGAGAGGCTTGGACTTATAATATATCGTTCATATTATATTATGCGCACCCATACATGGCTCGATTTTGGGGTGGTTAAAAGGAAGGTGAAGTAAATCATTTGTCAACCACTCTAGTAAAAAAATTATTTCAAAAAGTGTAAATATTTACACTTTTTGAAATAATGAGTGTTGTTTGATAAAAGAATCACCCAGTAGATAATTTTTAATTTTTTTACTATTATGAAAATCCATGACAATACAATATCCACCTGCGTGACCATATAGGATTATAGCATATATTTATGCAAAGCGAATGAGGTAGATATAATAGATAGGCATCAATACATAGTACATAATTTATAATAATAAGTATAACATGAGTAACATAATAATATTAATTTAATTAATACAGAACAAAACAGGTGGCGAAGAGCCGACGATGGTACATTGCATGAAATAAGTGAGGCAAACTTACACTAACTTGGTACAAACGAGAATGGAGGACACGATAAACGGTTTCAGAATAGTACCAGCGAACCAGGAGTGAGATAACGGTGGGAGAGGAGGGGATGTTTAAAAACCTTTTAAACTCTATAATATACATATTACTGGTCTATCATGTCAATAGAACCACAACAACAAAGGAACCGCCTGACAAATTTCTTCGTCTGGCGCCAAAATGAACGACGAGGACGTGTGTATCTCGGACTTTCCGGTTCCCGTACATCGCTGGTGACCTGCTGAAACTTTAGATTTGGCGTTGATCGCCACCCAATATCTGCAGCTGTCTCGCCAGCTAATTTTGGATGTATGGGGATGTTTGGCTCAGATACACAGAGCCTGCCGTCCAGAAAACCCTTGAAATCACAATTTTTCGACGGTTCCGGTCTTCGTATATCATTGGTACGGTTAAATTTGAAATTTGGCGTTGATCGCCATCCAATATCTGCAGCTGTAGCGCCAGCTAATTTTGGATGTACGGGGATGTTTGGCTCAGATACACAGAGCCTGCCGTCCAAAAAACCTTTGGAATCAAAATTTTTCGACGATTCCGGTTTCCATACATTGCTGGTGACCTGCTGAAACTTTAGATTTGGCGTTGATCGCCACCCAATATCTGCAGCTGTCTCGCCAGCTAATTTTGGATGTATGGGGATGTTCGGCTCAGATACACAGAACCTGCCGTCCAGAAAACCCTTGGAATCACAATTTTTCGACGGTTCCGGTCTTCGTATATCATTGGTACGGTTAAACTTCAGATTTGGCGTTGATCGCCATCCAATATCTGTCGATTTGGCTGAGGAATTTTCCCACATCGCAGCCATGTTAGGCATAGATACACATCTATATGACATATTTATTTGATAATATTATATAGGCACAATTAACGGAGAAGATTATACAGAAATACGTAGGAATGAAATTTATCCGTAATGAACACAAGAAATGAATATTGACAAGTGGTAACTATGTGACACAGATATGAATTGTAGATTTTGAAACATTCACGTACATGGCAACGATATTTTTGTTGTTTGTGTAAACCTGAAAGTATCTAGATTTGTTAACATAATATGGGTACGATAATTATTAATTAAAATTTTGTTTTTTAGTTATACTGATCAAAAATACAAAACTAAAAGTTCTTGTATTGTTTGAATAAAATGGTTTGTAAATTTGGGAAATAATACTACATAATGACCAAAGAAAATTAGAATATACAAATCTAAATTTTCCGGTTCGTGCACCTTTTATTCGACGAAGTTATGGATTTCGATACAAATCAAATTTGGCTCACAACGGTGTTAAAATATTTTTAGTACAACACAACTTACGGAGAACGACTGCCGCGCCGCCGCTACTGTAAAGCTCTTCGATTTGCGGAGGATATAAAATTCTGAGAATCACACGACATAGTGATTATTGTAAGAAACACAATTTATCGGTTTATGTACACTATACAATATTAATATATTATGCTATTGTTATCATTATATTATTTCTATTAATGCCACAGAAGATGGAAACGCGGCGAATATTAACAACGAACAGGTTATGTAGCGGCGACAGGAGGACATGATGACGAGATAATTGTTATTATTAATAACGACGACGCACTAAGAACGGAGAGGCGAACCGAGATGGATATTATGACGTATATAAGTACCTACGTCAATTTTCTCGGTGAAAATTCGTAAGAACAAGAAGACTCGTGGGAGTTGTATTAATAGTAATATTAATAATCATCATACCTATGTGTACGGGAGAAGGAGCCGCGAAATAACGGTAACGTTCTACGAAATGTTATGTTATCAATGCGCATAATATTAATGATAAAATTATTACTCCGTCGACAACCGAAGACGAAAGCCGTCGAGCGTCGGGTGGCTTAAATAAAATATGCACAATACGCAGAACTACGCCTATTCCTTCGCGGAGGAATGTGTCAACGCGCAGACTCGGCACAAAAAGTTTAACACAATATTATAATCGGGTTAGGTCATGATAATATTATTGTGTTGGTATATACCTATGCTCGACGAAGCGTTTACGACCATAACTATTAATTAAAAACACATATTTTCTTCGTAGAACCCCGACGACGACTGTGTAGCCACGGGCCTCAGGGGGCGATCTCCGGGTCGTATTAATATAATAAGTTTTTGTTTGACAATAACTCGCGTCCGGGGCAACGCTGCAGTCACGGACTAAGATATACAGGACTGGTATCGAAAACATTATTAGTGATCCCTAAATGTTTCCAAAGGTACAAGTGTAGTACCTAGCACCATCTATTTTAGAAATTACACATTAATCATAATATTCATTGTACAATCTACACCGGCAAACTTTTTGCAGTTATTAAATCATTAGGTCCATTATAATGAGTTATCAAATCATCATTAGAAAAGTGCTCAGCACAGACATAAACCACTTTACGATTTGAATTACCATTTACTTTTCGAATAATTTCATTCCAAGCATAAAAATCTGAGTCTCGAACTTTAAACAAATGAACAGCTTGTTTGCTTTTAATACTCGAGCACGAAATCACCGAACATTGACGAGGCATTTTAAAATAAGATGAACCACAAACCAACGTTACGACAGTCAACTAAGTCTGATGATACGTCTACAAAATATAATAGCCAGTAACCACTATATTAGGTTTCATAAATACAATTTCAATAATTATATTAATATATTATTATTTCAAAAATAATTATTTTAGTACGTTGCCAATATACGCTACTAGAATGCGCTAGTAACCACACCTGTACCATTAGAAACATTTGGGGACCGGCCTTCTACTACCCCCCGGCCATGTCGATACCAGTCCTGTATATCTTAGTCCGTGGCTGCAGTCCACCGGGTGCATTATATTCGATATTATATTATGCAAACACTGTTGTCGTATATATTATTATTATTATTATTATTATATGCATGATATAGGTACAAGGTACACCCTATTACGCACGACCTACAGCAACACCCCTCGCCCCGCATTATTATCACGGGAAACATAAAATATACTAAAACGCGTTAGCGGAATTACAATATAATAATTACGACGACGACGATGATGATAATAATAATAATAATTGTAGCCGGTCCCCGCGTGCACTTAATAGGCAGACTGTGTAACACAATAAATATAATATTATCAATTCGGTTAATGAACGCAAATGGATTTTATACAGCCGAAGCGTACTATGTCCTGTTGACAATAATAACAGTTGTAATATTTATTATGTTATTCCTCGAAAACGTATCAGCTGACCTTTCTCAGTCGACTGGCGCAAGTACGAACTGGAACTTTGATGATTTTTAGGGTTCGGGTTCCGGTTTGGTTCTTAGAAAACTAACATTTCTGTTTCGGTTTTCAAAAAAACCAAAATTCAACCTTTGATTTACTTTCGGTTCTTAAAAAACGAGAATTTCGTTTCCTGTTTTGGTTTAATATTAATACTAATGCGTAAAAATCTGGTTCCGTTTCGATTCTTTAAAAATTATAATAAAATATTGGTTTTGTCAATACTGCCGTATCAATTATGGCGGGTCAATATCAATATATTACCAGCTGATATCTTAACATTGCAAAATATTCACTCATCACTGTCACTTAATATACGACCCTGTTGCAAATAAGAAACCAAAATTAATCTCAAAAAACCTTTCCGTAAAAGAAAAATGATCGGTTCCGGTAAAGTGCCGGTTATTTTTAAATATATACCAATTAACATTTTTTTTTAAAGAAAACGTTAGGAATCCGGAAATTGTTCGAGGGCCATCGAAATTGCAGACGTCGGTAAAAAACGATTTTGCTTATGTTTGTCCCTATATGCACTTAAGTGTGCATCGCGTGATAGCATCCACGACTTATCGTAAAGGACTTGATAATAACGTTTCCGGTAGTCATCGCGGTGCGGAGTCGATGTGCCGTACTCATGAAAAAGTAGACCAATTGCTTGCTTCACCTTACCTGATAAAGTGCTCTGACGTATTACCGTCGCTCGTTGGTAAATATGTCAACATAACGGCGGATAAACGACAGTCTTATGAGATACCTCCGCATAAATACATATACTATATAGAACTCATCAGCTGCTCTCAAATATACGCTGGCGCCATCATACGCACCTATGAGCTATCAATTTTTGGTTCTTTCCGTGACTCCAAGTGCAAATATTACGTATTATTACCATAATAATAATAACAAGTGTCAGAGTTGATTTTATATAGTTGTACCTCTTATTCCTGTCATAAGGTTCATCACGCCGGTATAAAAATATATTCACGTGACCATTCACGGTTACCATCGGCAACTGGCCAAAAGGCTCTCAAAGTCAAAACTCCAAATGGAAATAATAGATCTACAGGAAGATGTTTCCTTGAAGCAGTACAGAAGTGCGTCAACTGAAGAACCGCCTAAATTATACTACTATCGATGCTCTAGAAAATATGATATGTGAACCAACGTCACATAATCAGGATTCAAATGAACTTGCACACCTTAAACGACAACAATTAAGCAACGGACTTAAACGAAAAGCTATTACAGACATATCAATGAAACCATCAAAACTTATTTGTACTGAGCTGAGTGGCGGATGCATTACTTCTACTGCGTCAGATATTAACTTAGTACTTAAAAATATGTACAATGCTCGGAGAACTATTTTTCCAAAATTACCAACAAATTCTGAAGAGGTACACAACATGTTACAACAAAACCAAATATTTACAGTTGAAAATGAAACTTTTGTTATGGTAAACGATAAGCAAACAAATATTATATTATTTTCATGTGCAAAAAATTTAAGATTTCTAAATAACCTTAAAACAATATATTATGTCGACGGGACTTTTCAATATTGTCCAAAATATTTTCTACAAATGTTCACAATACATGGTCTGATAAATTATTATTACATTCCACTGGCATTTTTTTTACTACCTAACAAAGAAAATAAAACATACGAAAGAGCTTTTACGTATTTGAATGAATCGTCTTCAAAATATAATGTTACCTTTGCTCCTGATACCTTGTTTGTTGATTTTGAAATTGCAATTCATAAAGCTGTGTCTACAGTTTGGACAGAAGCGGAAATAAAAGGTGGTCGTTTCCATTTGGGACAATCGTGGTATGTATAAATTAACATGTACAATTTTTAGATTTTACTGATTACATATTAGAAAATTATATATCTGAAAATGCTCAATTCCCTCCAAGTATGTGGGCACAATGTTCATCTAGTGTACAACGAACAACGAACGCATGTGAGGCATTTCATTCCAAATTTAATTCATCCTTTTACTCAAGCCGTCTAAATATTTATCAATTTATCAATGTTTTAAAATCATTTAAAATTAATACTTATGTGTTAATGAATAGCATAAATACATCTAAAAAAGAATATAGAAAAAAAAAACCAAAAAATTGATTACTTAAATAAAGAAATAAAAAAATTCAGAGAAAAAACCAATTCTGCTTTTATTTATTTAAAAAACGTTTCACTCAAATTTCAACAAACATTGTTTTCATTCAGTAATTACTAGGTGATTTACGTGCACATACATTTTTAAGATTTATTTTAGAACTCTTTTTATGTTGTAGTTAAAAAAGCATATATTTAATTTGATTATAGCTTTAATAAATTGACAATTGACGATTTTATAATAAAATATTTTTTTAAATAGGTATGCATAATTCTTTTAACTTGTATTTTCATAATCTATAAATAGTTGTTATAATTTTATTTTGGTCTATTGACAAAGAAGATTCTTTTCTTTTTAAATAATTTTTCTTGTCGTTTAAATTACTAAATAATTGTACACGTTATTTAGCATTATTATTTCTTTTATTATTATAATATGATTTATGTCTACTAAATAGTATCACTTAAATACCTGCTTTGTATTCAATTGTCCTTGTCCATTAACAAATTGTTAATACATAAATAAATCTACAAATTGATTATTGATGTATAATAATAACAATAGACTATGGGTATAGAATTCTAAAATTATTTAAATAATAGGTATTTAGTCAATATTGTTAAGTAATATAAGTATTTGAAATATAAGCATTTCTTATATATATATATATTATATAAGTAAGATACTAAGATGTAACCATGTATCCACTGTGGGAACGAACACGTTCGGCACTCGGCGTATATGGAATTCCACTGCGTGGACAGTTTTGAGCCACAGCGGGCTTTGAGCCAATTTACGAATCAGTACCAAAATTATTTAAATATTTGTTTTTTTCTAACTCAAAGTAATTCATGAATTTTCGGTGTTCAACGAATTTTGTAAAAATTCAAACCACAGACACTCATGAAAAGAGCCAAAATATTTTAAACATTTTATGATGTAAAGAAATTTCTAATATAAACTTTCGGTGATTAAATCATGACGTATCTACTGGTTTTTTTTTTGTTAGACCAAAAACACAAAATCGATTTTCTCAAAAAATTATTTTGGCGTAAAAATGCTTGTTTTTATTGTAACCGTCAATTTCAAATTTCAAATGTATAAAAAAAAAACACTGCTATCGAGTATCAACTATATTCTTTAGAGTCTAGACTAACTGAAATGTTTCAATAATGTATTGTAATTAATAATTTGTATTGCTATTACTAGACCTATATAATGTTCTTTGGATGTCATCTATTATAGGTATAGGTACCCACTATTGAAAACACACAATTACACAGATAAAGAATTGTTGTTTAAACTTTAGAAAATAATTTCTTCAAACATTTACTAAATTATGTAGATTTGATGACTAATGAATGATTATATACTTTAATTAAAATAAAAAATAGGTAGGTATAGATAAGGTGTCGCTATAATTAAATACATTTATTAAAAAGTCTAAATTAGCTACCATGCCCACGTTAAGTACACATGTCATAATTTAAAATCGATTAAATCAAACAACGATATTATAATTTATAGTTCGACAGACGAGTAAATTAACTCTTTTTTTTTATAAGAAATACACATTTTTTTACTATATTTTACTATTTCAGGCTACAGTAAACATGTGTATGAAAATTATATGGGTGTAAAGTGTTTGTGTTAGGGGATGAATACGAACAGAGCCTTCGTAATATTTCAAAAACGATTGCTCTCGTAGCATGTTGCTACAGAGCCCGACAGATGTGTTGTTCGGGGTGGGAGAATCTGCATGGAGTGCGGAGGTCTTTGAAATATAAAAATGTAATTAAAGGTTAATATGTAGTGTTTGAAAATTTCATGAAATTTAAGATTGTGAAATATTTCATAAAATATTTCAAATACTGGAAATATTTCAGTATTTTAATAAATTTTGTTTTTTTGAAATAAGTTTTATATTTACATAATATAACTGTCATAAATTACCTTCATAATTTGATGGTATATTTAAAGTACTTTAAACTTCACTTTTTCTTCACTGATGTTTTTCTCTGTAAATTGTAATCCTTACTGTTAAGCTATAATAATTGGAAACCAAATAAAATAAATAAAAATAAAATTTACCTAACCTTTGGTATTGTATACATTTAAAAAATGGCATTCAACATTTTTATATGGGCAAAAAAACATACAAAAATGTTTAAATGATACAAATATACAATATTATATATATTATATACTATATAGTAATACATCCACACCCCATGTTAAAATACCTTTAAAGTTACTTTATTTTAATATTATATTACATAATTTATATTTTTTTCTCACCCAGTTTCCTACAGTAATGTACATTGTACATATTATAACTATATATCTACCTATTAATAAAATGAAAAATATTTTTATTAATACATATTACAACAATTAGGTACTTATAATTTATATTTACATATGTCTGTGCTACGTCAAGCCTATACAGGCTACAACACGTACACGTAAATACGTCGTTACGGAGGAACGGCGCCGAGTGCGCGACGGCGGTCGAGATCGACAAAGGCGCACAGTCGAACGGTGGCAGCGAACGGCGTTAGGCGATCGCGGCGAGCGGTAAGCAGCAAAGGGACCGCGAAGTCAAGCGACCGCGGTTCGACGGTTGACGGAGCGAAAACCGCGTTTGTGGTACCAGGGTCTCATGCGGAAGGAGTCGTTCTCTGCTTCGCGGTGGTCACTGGCCACTGTCTCGTTCGCGTGTCTCGGCGGGGCGGCATACCACATGCGTTCCTAGTATATTAGGGCTAATAGTACATTAATAACGCTAATAATACATTAATACAATAATACAATAATACATTAATATTACATTTAGATTTAGATTTAGATCTTTTTTTAAGTTTTAAGATAATTTGTCAATTATTATCAATTAAATAAAACCATTTATTTTTTGCATATTCTTGCATATAATGAACATAATGCACGTAGTTGCGTATTTTATAGATTTTTGAGAATCTTGTTAATTTTGATGATTTTTAAATTTTTATTATATTATAACTATCAAAATAAAATAAATACATTACCACTACAAAGTTATGCCATTATCCGGGGGCGGCCCCAGGGGTGACCCTAGGGGCAGCCCCCCCGAGCTGTATTTTTAAACAGTTAAATGTTTCTTATAATTAATTTAATTGATTATATTAGAAGTTAAAAGTTTTATAACATTGGATATTCTTGACTTGACTTGACAAATAACTACCTATTTTCATATTTTGTAGTAATTTAAAAATAAATAACAGTAGACACTCGAAATTATATTAAGATATTTAGATATTCAATAATCGTGATTTGTAGTTCACTTTTGTCATACTTAAGTAAAATACTTTTAAAAAGTATTCAGAATAAATATTCGAATACTTATGAAAAATAACATTCCGAATTTAGTATTTGAAATACTTCAAAAATATTCCAAATTATTTTAAAATATTTTTTAATTTTTGTTTTAACTATTAAACCAATGACACTTTTCTTCAGAAAAATTTGCCAACATAATATATAATTTAATAATTCTAAATATAATCTAATTTAAGTTGTTGATACTTGATTTAACATTTTTAAATGTGTATAATATTGTAAAAATGTCCAGAAGAACAAGAAAACAATTATTATTATAAATAGGTAATGAGTATTTTTTATACGAATAAAATACATTAGAAAAATATTCTAAATTATTATTCAGAATAGGTACTGTTGGAAAAAGCAACAACTAATAGTATTTTATACTTTGGGTAAAATACTAAATATTGTTGAACGTAACTATAAATTATTATTTATACTTTATTATTAAATTTCGAATAGTTCAATTTTTAGTCATTAATACCTACATTGGACATTGGCACGTCGTAACCGATAAGACATTTAAAAAAAAATTGAGTCAAGTGCACAGCTAAAATACACATTTTATGTTTTATTTGAAAAGAGATATAAATTAATTTTTTGTTATAACGTGATGCAATCTGGTACTATTAGCAAAGTCATTCTGGATTAACAGGAAAGAGATATAAGTGTACTTATCTCAGACTTGATTAATATTACGAAATTCAAATAATGTCACTTGTACCCCTTGTGTTGTGGACTTAATCCTGTGCCACGATGTATAATTATTATCTTCTCTACATCCTGTCTGGCTGTTGTGGCGAATTTTGATTTTTTTCCTTACGAAATAAGAAAATTTTAATATTGATAAATAACTAAACAAAAAAAAAAATAAATAAATTTTATGTTATTTTTATATGTTACTATAGTTGATCTTCAGTGCACTTCGTTGCCGTTAAATGTATCAACTCTATCTTAACTTTTCCGTTGCCCTGAATACAAATTCTGATTCGCAGCAGTACATTATCATTTAGGCAATCTACTTGTGGTAGATCACGGACTCCGTGCTGTTTGTAAGCAAGTGTATGATTTAACTCTAAAATATCAAAGTTATACCAAGTTTGTCGTTTTTACTTAATTCCGATTAATATCATCAATTTATACAAAATCCAATCCTTACCCAACCGTACTAAAATCCAATGAACAAAAAAAAAAACAAATTTAACCCTTTGTAAATTAATCCATCTTCTTGCCGGAGGTCCAATAAAAATTAATATAAATATATCTAACTATATAAATACACAAACTATAACTATACAGACTAAACTCTAAACTTACCTTATAAAAACAAACACGTCAGCATATATATTAGTAAACAGGTTTATTTTATGCACACAAAATATACAAATTGTTCAACAGAACATAACCATAACTGAGCAATAAGGCCGGACGGAAAGGCCACGTCAAGTCGTCAACGTACTACACTACTACCGTATATACCGGTAACAGAAGATCAAAAAATAGTCATAAAAATCCGACAATTATAAGGGCCTGACAGTTTTTTTTTTTACAATTACTCGCCGTAAGACGGGACATATATTACGATAAGTAGGTAGTTGAAAATTGATCGTTGTGTTGTTATTAATTGCTACTCTTTCTCTAAATATTTTCACTTACTTAAATTGTTTATAGTGTTATATGACCCCATTTTCATCTAAATGTTTAACTATAAATATTATGCATTTAGTTTTTCAGGACTTAAAAATGATTATAGTCTTATAATAGTGAGACTTTAATAACTCATAATAATATTGTGACGGTAATTTGAAAACCTACATTCTAAAACAAATACGTCGGGTATATTTTATTAAACAGGTTTATTAATTTATGCACAGAAATACAATCAATACATAATATATCATACAAATGGAATACATTATAAATTAGATCATTGCAATAGAATAGAAGAATTTATTAAGAAAAAAATATACAAATTATACAAGTATAATTTTGTATTATTTTTTTCCGTGTACCTACATTGGTCAGGCAGGAGCGTCTAAACACAGGAATGCACCTTATGCATTAAGCGCATGGGCGTAATTTATTCTCCACTATCATGTATTCATGTTGGGCTGTTATCAATATATTATCTTATCACTATAATACGATGATATAATTATAGGAATCAAACTATTCAAAATTTAAACATGCTTTACATTTTTCTTGTGCTTCGACCACACTCATAATATCTTTTGATATTTGTGTACTACCATAAATTGTATATTATTAAAAAATTTTTACGGCATATCTTTACCAAATAATTCATTATACATACCAGATACACATTTGAAAAGTTAATAATTTTCTAAACTGAGTTGAGTCGTCTTCGTCTTGCAAACATCTGTAGAAATATTATTGTAAGTATTACGTGTTATATAAATAATATAATATAATATAATAATAATAATTAAAGTGTTATAATGATTTACAGTTTGTCATTTAATTGTTATGCTCACTTCTGAGATTCTTAAAAGTATTACATGTTAAATAAATAATATAATATATAATATAATAATAATAATTAAAGTTAAATGTTTGTATAATAATAATTCACAGTTTGATATTTAATTTTAATTCTTTAAACATGTTAAATCGTTAAATGTATTAACTATTCATTCCTATTTTAGGATGTTTTTTGATTATTATTTTTTTTTTTTGTTTATTTAAAGCCTCAACAACAAAGGTTATTTACATTTTTACATTTTTGGATATAAAACAATTATAGTTATTTTTGATTATTGTTTTTAATTATTATTACACTTAATAGTTAATACATTTAACGATTTAACATGGTTAAAGAACTAAAATTAAATATCAAACTGTGAATTATTATTATACAAACATTTAACTTTAATTAATATTATTATATTATATTTTATTATTTATTTAACATGTAATACTTACAATTGATGCCAATTGATGTTTTTAAGAATCTCAGAAGTGAGCATAACAATTAAATGACAAACTGTAAATCATTATAACACTTTAATTATTATTATTATATTATATTATATTATTTATATAACACGTAATACTTACAATAATATTTCTACAGATGTTTGCAAGACGAAGACGACTCAACTCAGTTTAGAAAATTATTAACTTTTCAAATGTGTATCTGGTATGTATAATGAATTATTTGGTAAAGATATGCCGTAAATAATATTTAATAATATACAATTAATGGTAGTACACAAATATCAAAAGATATTATGAGTGTGGTCGAAGCACAAGAAAAATGTAAAGCATGTTTAAATTTTGAATAGTTTGATTCCTATAATTATATCATCGTATTATAGTGATAAGATAATATATTGATAACAGCCCAACATGAATACATGATAGTGGAGAATAAATTACGCGCATGCTCAAAATGCATAAGGTGTATTCCTGTGTTTAGACGCTCCTGGACAGGCCGGACGGCAAGGTCACGTCAACGCACCTACTACCTACTGCCGTATACCCATAACGGAAGAGATCCTCAAGTTCGCCGGGCTACAGGCTTGAGGACGATGGACCTAAAACTCTCCTCCGTTATGGGCACACGGCAGTAGGTTTTCAATTATTTCTCCTCGGCTTCGCGCACGGATGCGCACGGCCTCTGCACAGGGTCACGGCGAAACGCCGTCGTGCCAATCGTCATCGGCGGAGAAGGCGGCTGAGTATTAGTCCCAACATTTGCCGAGGTTACTGCAGGAGGCGGAGAAGATTGCCTCCGGACCGGATGTAACGTTGGCGGGCCTGCGGCGGGTGTGAACGATGCGGACATCACAGCATCAGCGGCGGCCCCCGCGCTCGTTAACCTCAACATCAGTGTGTGGTTTATACCGATGATTTCAGCAGAGTTTTTTGTCACATCACCTACACACGGACACACGTCGTCAATAATTTATTATCTATCAACTGATATTTTTCTATATATTTTACTTTCAAGAACCGAGACCCGCATCTTCAGGCTGCGTAGCTTGCAGCCGTCGGGGTTTTCCTCAATGGATTTTTCGGTGTTTGCTAAATGAACGTAAACGACTAATGTGTTACACTGTTATGGGTATAGTCAGGTCGATATATTATATAATATTACTTTCCGCGGACGGAGTCTCTGAATTTTTCCGCAGATCAGCAGTCAAATGGTTTAAATCTTTTTTAATGCGAGACACTTCTAATCTCAGGCTGTTGATCGACAGCCGCTGCTCGTCGGCGGTCTGTTGAACGGTATATATTGCGTCGGCCACGTGATGTTTTAAAGCCAAACAATTCATTTCAACCACTTTAAAATTATGCTGAAAATCAAATCAAAACTGTATATCAGTACCTCGATACTATGATTATACATTCAATTATTCTAAAGCCGTTATTCGTTTCATACTTGCAGGTCCCTGAATGCCTGCTTATCCACCGGGTCCATATACAGTTCTAGAAAGTATGGAATTACATGAAAATAGTTTTAGTTAAAAAATTATACTCAATATGATATGGAAAACTGACCTCCCATTGATTTTACGTGCGTTGTATCATTCAAGTTTTCATCTGACCCGGACCGAATAATTCTCGATTCCGCATCGGACATAGTGTGAAAACTTCTCGATTCAGCATCGGACACGGACCGAAAACTTCTCGATTCCGCATCGAAAAACTTATCGTTTTCATCCTATTAAAATAAATGGGTACTATATTATTATACTATGGGTATAAGTTATATTCTTTTTCACGAGAGAACGGGACCGTTTCGCGCATGTTAAATGATTCGATTGGTGCGTGGACGACCACGTGATCACGCCTACAACGACGCGTGGCGGCGAACGAGTTTTTGAGGCCGCCGGTACCGTTCTCTCGTGAAATAGAGTATACAATATTAATTACAACGTATATATAATATATATTTATATGTCCTACCCATATTATACATTATATTACTACGTACCTTTAAATAATAATATACACTATATTATAACCCATATTATAACCCCATATTATTGTGTGTAAATCTACAACACATTAGGTACTTGTAAATTTACAGTCATAGCAAAGTTGAATTAATGAATTAACCTATTTTATGTGTAAAATTATCAGTAGGTCATACTTAAAGTTTACTCATCTTTATGATTTGTAAATTTAACTATTATTATGTGTCGCAATTTACCAACATAATAAATGTGACTTGTATTTCATATTATATTTACAGTTTAAAAGTTAAATGTACAAGTTAAATGTTAGTGAATTTCAACTGTTACTAATACTTAAATTTACAAACTCATAAGTGTAAATTTGCAATTATGGTAAATCATATATTTACCTACCTATACCTATCTAAGCTAAAAAGTATGGAATCTTTCCGTTCAAAACCTGATATGTCCCCTTTTTCAAAAAAGTTTTTTTTATTGTGGTTTCCTGATCAGGAAATAAAACTACAAATTTCGGTGCAACAAACCGTTATGTCCGATTATAAGTTACGGAGATAATATAAGCATAAGCAAAATGTACTTACCAGGTTATTACATTTCAGAGCAAGAACCTGGTATGTCCGGACTCCAGACACACAAGATTTTTGCTCGAAAACTAATTAATATATTGTTTATACTAAAAATGACAAATATTAAAGAATTAAAAAGTTTATTACTATAATATAAATCTACAAGATATTATGTATTATATTTTGGTTACCTCCAAGACTTCGTCCTTATTTTTCAGTCCACATCCATCAGTAGTTGCATAGTTATTTCGCCTTGATAATAGGAACGACATTCCTGCCATACCGACGCAAGCGAACGAAATTCCGACGACAAATTCATTCAAGAAATACATTTTGCAAAAGAAATATCTTTTTGTTCAAAAATATATTATGAGTAACTGTTAATTCACAAACCGTAGTCATGTAAATAAATATTATGATCATGTTCTGTTTTGATATTTAAACAATTAAACCAGATAATATATTATTATAACAAACAATACTATTGTATAATTTATAAAGTCTTAGTTTCTTTTATCGAACTGCATTCACAAATTATCGTTATGAACATCTGAATATGCATAAATTACGTCCATGCAGTAGCGGACTGGCAATAGATGACGGGATGCGATCTTATCCCGGGCCCCAACTGAGCCGGGCCCCATGCCCCATATACATTTGAAAAAATAATTTAAATAAACTGCTTGAAACTTTTTAAACTTTCTAATCGTCGTAATTGTCGTCGACAAACAGCTACCGTGTATTAGAAAGTTGCTAATTAGCATTATATAAATGATAGACATTTAATATTATTCACTACGCCATGTCCATGTATAACGAGACAGAATGGACATCCCATAATATATTATTTCAATACTGTTCTAGAAGAAACTACGCAAACTACGGAGAAAATTGTACCGACCAAGGTGGATATATATATATCCACCTTGGTACCGACGCATAGAACCGGTGATCAACGATGCAACATAGCGCGCGTGCTGGAGCACAAGTTCTACGTTTGTCCTAAAATTCAATTTCCTAAGCTCAGGAGACTTGCTACTGCTTAACCAGGATCATAATAAGATGCGCCACTATATTATGCAGTTATTGCATATAGCCGTCCACCTATATGACCTACTGGCTACTACTACATCATAATTAAAACATCTAGAAACTAACATTATGGAAACGGCATAATATTCAATAACATCGGCGAGGCAATACATGCAGATATACCAGCTCGCGTCGACGGTAAAATAAATCTTCAGACCGCACCTAACTAATACAACGTTTTCTTGATTAAGAGGAAGTGATACCCACATGTGTTGTCTCCGTCTTACAAATGCGTAATATGGCAAATTTTACGCTCAGCAAAACACGTGTAGCTCCGGTAGTTTAAAAATTAGAGCTAATTGATCTCTTATAAAATCTAAAGGTAAGATTATTATATAGACAATCTCATAGGCTTTTTAATATATTTTCATTTTAAAGCGAGTTATGTGTATTTTAAGATGTTCAAACAATTTACAGTTTTAAAATACTCATAACTCGGGTAAAAATTAAAATATAATAAAAAGCTTATGAGGTTGTTTAGAAAATAATCTTACCTTTAGATTTTATAAGAGGTCAATTCGGTCTAAATGTCAAACTAATGGAGCTACACGTGTTCTGCTAAGCGTAAAATTTGCTATGTTACGCACTTGTAAGACGGAGAAAACACATGCGGGTATCACGTCCTCTTAAGAGTTTAACTTAACTTTGTATTCAGCGGACTCCACCGAGGAGTCTGCGCCATTGATATCGACGATATCGTGCCGATCGGTACACCCCTCTCCACACTTACTGTGTAGGCAGTGATACGGGATACTCCGTATTGAACAAGCTGCTATTACGACACATCCTTGAACATTGCTGTCGGTGCACCGACCGCCACCAATAACGCACCGCGGTACCCACGTTGTCTTTGCCTTTCGGACACTGCACCGTTTGTCACGTCGTATGGGGACTACTGTATTGAACAATTTACCATTCCGTCACGTGACCGAACGTCATTGGTCATTGTTGTTGTACCGACTGTCATCGTCATTCCGTGGTACCCGCATTGACCGACGTCGATAACACTTCGCGGTACCCACCGATTACGATTACGATTCTGCGGTATTTATTGTTGTCACAGCTCTACGACATCGCGGTACACACCCGCCCTATCGTTCCATTGATTCCACTTCACATTACCCGCTTTAACCGCCGTCGATAGCTCACCGCGGTACCTGTTCGTCCTATCGCCAAGGCACTTGCGAAACACTTTGAAACCTGTCGTATTCATTACCGCCGTCGCTGTATTCACACCACGGCCGCATTCCTGCCGCCCCGCTGCATACCGGTGATACCCGATTGAGCAAGGTCGTTATCGGCCGACCTTTTAGACGACCCGATTGAGCATGATAAAAAAAAAAATATTGGGTACAACGTTGTCAGATTTTCACTAGTACCTACGTATGTTGTGTAGATATTACCAATAGGTAATTACTAATTACTAACATATTAGTCGAAAACGATTTTGCTATCGATCGATGGGTAGGTATACCCACGGAAGTTGAAAATAACTGGGATAGATAGGAAACCAGAATTTTATATACAACGATTGCACTAAATTTATTGTGATTAACTGTTATGGTATGTACCTAATACCTATGCTGTAAATAAGACTTGGTCACAGTCAGTCTATGGTTCTGTTGCCTCGTGCTCGTAGTGCGGTAGTGTGCAAATTTTATGATGGAAAATAATGAAATAAAAATTATTTTATCCGAGAGAGGTAAAAAGTTGGCAAATGTTGGAGCTTATCAGGAGTACTCTGAATTAAAAAATGTTGATAACCTACTTAAATACTTATTTAAAATTGTAAATAAGTATTTAGAAAAAAAAATTAAAATTTTTATTTTTTAATTCATTTTGATTGGTATTTTTTCAACATTTTTTTATATTATATATTTTTATATTCAGTATTTAGCGGAATAAATTGTAATTGTAATATAATATAATAAACTAATTGACGTACATATGTAATAATATGTGATTAAAATCCAATAAAAGATTTTTATTTTTAAACATTTACATTCAAATGTATCTTATTTTTTAAAAATAATATTCTACGATACACAATGGCAACGTCGCACCTATTTTCGTGCTCAATCGTGTTGTTTTTGAGGTTTTTTTGGGTTTCTATTGTTTGATTCCAACCATGCTCAATCGGGTTGTGAAAAAGGTCAATCGTGCTAAGTCGGGTTCCAGCCGTGCATACCTACGTTACTGTGCTGACC